ACACTGACCCTCATGAGATTTGATAGACTATGAAGTTTACAGGTTGCGCGTTTTTCCCGAAACTCGGCAACACGCGCGGGCCCTCTCCGCTTGCCTCCAAAACGACTTTCCACTTTGTCCTCGTAAGCATCCCGACTTCGTCCCACAGCCTCTGAAAACTGTTCCTATCATGCAGGTATGGCGAGTTCGGACCCATGGACATTGCTTCCGGCTTCGTTGTCCCAACATGTCTGCCATAGATGAGGGCGTTCTGTGTGCCCGGCTTCAGGAAACCCACTAGGCGCTTGCCGATGTACAGCTGCTGCGTCCAGTTGAAGAGGTGGAAGAAGCTGCCTGCGTAGATAATGGTTACCCTGCCCCGAAGGTCGTCTAGCCGGCCATCATCTGGGTCAAGCATATCGCCGACGATGAAAGAGGCCCCAAGACTATCCCTGTCGCGAAAAAGCTTGTAACCGATGTCGATGAAACGAGCCGAAACGTCTGTTCCAATGAGCTGGGAGCCTCTGACTCCATCGGCCCGAAGCTGTCGAAGAACCTGGCCAACACAGCATCCCAAGTCCAGAAAGACGTCTCTGGATCCCGGGACGTTCAGTCTGAAGACAACCTGGCGGTAGCAGGGGTCATGACTGCTAACCAGTCGGAGAAACTTCCATCGCCCAACGAACGGGTACCGGGAAATGGTCCATGCTTCTTGCCGCTGCGGGAGGCCCAGTCATTAGCGGATGGAAGCAGACGTCAGACAAGTCGCAGCAGCAGCTTACCACGCGCAGCAGATGGTCATCTATGCCCTCGTTGGCGATGTTGCTATAGGTCCGAAGTAGGTCGCGAATGGGACCCAGATCATCGGGCACATCTGAGATGTAGGCCCACTGCTGCATCTCGATCAGATCCATGCCAGGGCCCCGGCTGACGGGCGCCGTTGAAATAACCGCGGACGGCATGGTTGTGTCACTCGGGTGAAATGACTGGTCATCGACGGCCTCTGCGCCACCAAGCGCTGATGATACGAGATGGAGTGTCAGCGGGTGAGCGCGCGTTCATGATGCGGGCCAGAGACGCGACGCATTGGGCGTTAGAAATTCGCGTGACACAGCTCAGCTCAGCTCGGTCGTACACGCCAGGTGATCGAGGCACCCGAGAATCAGGGCTGGCGACGAGCAGCTGTGGTCTGCAGAAAATGGTGGGCAGTGGAAGGCTAAGAATGGTGCGCGATTTGGTTGGGACAAGGTTGCATTTTAAGAATGCCTGCCTCATGCAAGATCCTTCGGGGGTCCGGGCAAACGGGCCGCAGTGTGTCGACGTCGTCTGCCGGTGATTCCTCACCCGGCATTCCAGGTTTAGACCGGGCTGGATCAGCTCTCCCAGAATGCAGCCGCGACCGGAGTGGAAATGCTTGGAATCCCTGGATGCCTGGATGATGGGAGTCTGCGCTTCGGCTCCTGCCGGACGGCCCGGCTCCAATTTGTCAGTGCGCCCCCTGACGAACACGGGGATGCGACCTTGGAATGGCTTTACCCCGAGGTCTCCCAGGGCGCTCGTTGTGCGTTTGACACAGGGAGGGTCTTAAAAGCTCTACCGGTTTGCGCCTGGATTTGCTGCCAGTAAAGCGAAATGGACGCACAGCTTGCTTCGGCAGTTGATACTTGGCAGCGATGGCGGTTGAGGTGAACAGCGCCACGCTATTGTGTAATCTCCCACACTGCAGCTCGGGCAGTGACCACCGAAATGTACCCCATTATTGTCTCTTGTGTGACCGGCCAGTGTTTTTTCCCTGGTTGAGTCAGTCCGAGCCCTTGACTCCTGGTGCTGCACGCCTTTCCGATCATGCCGACTTTCCAGTTCCTGACATAGACGGAGTGAACTGTTACGGCTCCTGCCACGCCGTGTACCTAGGCACCGTTCAAGACTGAACAGGAGATACTTTGTACTTCGTTTCTGGGCAGTTGGGAGCGGCAATGCCGGCCGGCTTTGATCAGCCGAGCAGCCACAGGACGCACAGACGCCTGCGGCTTGCACAAGAAAGGAAGTGGCCCACAAATTTGCTCGCTACGTAAGCCATCTGGAAGCATGCTGGACAGCCGATGTATTGCCGGATCATGCCGAAAATTCTTCCACTCCGTGTTCCCTCTCAAGAACTCTCCTGGCCAAAACACACGCGCGCGTGGCTACGGGGCCGAGTTCTTCCTATTCCGTTGAGCGCGACAGGTCCATCGCATTTACCATCATCCGGCCCCAAAAGCTCCTGCATGTAAGTCGACACACCACCCGTTGCTTACCAGCACCGCATCAACCATTTGCAATGCATGGCAAATAATTGCTTGGTCGTATTCCGACGTAGATTGCAGCATAGTCGATGCTTGAGTGCCTATTGAGTGGCGCGCTGAACTGACTGACAATGCCTTGCAGCTCTCTCAAGCGCGCGCCACACGCCTGTCGCGCGATCCTCAGACAAGCTGCAGCGACAGTCTTCTGCAGGTAGGGTGACGGCGGACTGACGTGCGCGAACCGAAACGCCCTCCCTCTGCTCGGAGCCGAACTCGACTTCAAGGACCGCACCACGCATTTCCCGCCCGAAACTCCCCTTACAAGCGTTGTCAGGATCGAGCATCCTGCACGCACTGGGCATCATGAGCCCCGATCGAGAAGGCGAGCCGGACGAGGCGGGCGGCCTTACATACCCGTCTCCGGGTGCGGAGGCAATGGATGCAGGTCCCTTCTACCATGCAAACGCCCGCGATGGACCTCCTGAGCACACCGATCAACCAGAGCACCACGCAGACGAACATGTTCCCGAGGAGGTGCATGCACACGAGCAGGAGCAGGCTGCCATGGCCGCACAGGAATCAGATACATCGCACCAGCATGTATCTCGACCTGCAAACCTGGAAGAACTTCAACTCGCTGCCCAGCTTGGTGACGGCCTGGCAGGCACCTCCATGATGTCCACTACCGACCCTAGTATGAATGTTGAAGACCACAACATGCGAAGCATCATGCCCCATCCCGAGCCAGAGCAGCATCAGACCCCCTCGTACGTTCAAGACACCAACGGTACCGATCACATGAACCAACACGCCATGCCCGTGCCGGTCGGCCCACCAGTCCCGCCTCAATATCAGGTCGCCGACAGCATCCCTCCTCGAAAACGCTCCAAGGTATCAAGAGCCTGTGATGAATGCCGACGGAAGAAGATCAAATGTGATGCACAGTCTGACACAGGCGATACGCCGTGTTCCAGTTGTGCGCGGTCGTCTATTCGATGTCTCTTCAGTCGTGTACCGCAAAAGCGCGGACCAAGCAAGGGGTAAGCCACTTTACATGCACGAGTCCTCACGCTGGGTATCTAATTGTTGATGAACTAGGTACATCAAAGAACTCGCGGACCGCATCCACTCCATCGAGAACAAGCTTGAGTCCGAAGGGAATCTGTCTCAAGACGACATCGACAAGCTCTTCGCCTCGGAACGTCCGCGCAGCCACAGCCAGGTAGGTTCCGGCGAGGACACGAGCCGAAAACGGCCCTTTTCGAGTATCTCCGTCGGTGATTTCAGCACACCGGTGGTTACTCGTCAAGCACCGTGGGGCTCGGAGTCTCGACCACTTCAGCCAGCGTCGGCTACGTCAGACGGCTTTGCGAATAATTATGCCAGCAACAATGGCTTGGCGCCTCAACCAGAGCCCATCAAAGCCGACGATGGGACGCCATCGAAACCCCCAGTCGCAAGCATGGACGCATCCATGGCTGATGCAGACGAGCTGCCTAGTATTGATGAAGGCGCAATGGATGAGTATGTCATTCAAGCTTCACGTTATATGCAGGGATTCTTCTCGCTAACTAGCCCCATAGTTACCTTGCAACTGTTCAGCCCTTGTATCCAATTCTGCCCAACAGCACAGCACGGATGCAGTCCCTGCTGGTACAATGTCCACCAACCTTGCGGGCGGCGTTTTCCATCGCGCTGTTGTGCGTGGGCCGGGGTATGACTGGAGACGTGAAGCAGGCTGATGACCTACTCCGCGAACTCGAAGGCTCCGATGAGCCAAGAACTCGGGCGTCTGAAATTGTGCATGCACAGACACTGCTGTTGCTTGCCATTGACGCCGACTGGCGGGCATCTTCAACTCTGCCATTCCTCCTTGGCCGCGCTGTTGCGCTGGCCAATACGATGAACCTGTGGAAATCATTTCCCGTGGAATCGACAGACCCAGACTCAGAGGATCAGCTGTGTGTCAAGATATGGTGGACTCTGGTCCTGATGGATCGCTGGTACGCTGCTGGAACTGGCAGACCTGCCCTTATACCCGACAACAGCGTTGTCGCAAGGGCTGGGCTGCAAGCAACCGTGGGCGAGGTATCTTTCCACTTCATTCGGCTCTCAAAGTTGCTGAACAGGGTGGCGTATGTGATCTCAGCGCTGCCGCCCGGCACGACTACGACGGAGCCACTCATGGCAACAATTCTCAACGACTATATCGAGAATTACCGAGAAGACCTCCCCCCACATGTGGATGCCGCATCCTACCCACTGGTGCACCTCGCTTACTGGCATTGCCGCCTGTTGGTGACACTCTTGACACCGGGAGCCACAGCCGCGGACACCATGTGGCCGACCAAGGAAATTGTTAATTTGTTGTCGTTGAACGCGCAGCTTCGCAGCCCTCTCACCAACCACTTCGTCTCCCTTGTGGCGCTCTCTCTTAGCCGGCTCGTGAAATCAGATAGCTCTCATGACGAGGCAACACAGCTGATAAAAGAGATCACGGAAAAACCCGCCGGCGGCCACTGGGATGGCGTGAGAGCCAAGCTAGCAGAATATCTCCGGCCAGCATCATCTGTGGAGGCGACGGCTAGCCAGGGACTGCAACATCTTGCAGATCTAGCGACAGCACACGAAGGCATCGTGCCAGGCGAAGGCGAGGTCGCGTTTGGGCCCTCGTTGGCATCTGGCTACCTGGAAGCCTCGTGAGAAGCGACTCTGCCTCGTACCCAATTGCGGAGCGGCCGCAAACTACATTGTAAGATAGGAGGGTGCTGGGTGTCTTGGTCCCTGAACCCAGACTCACCACCGGTTGATTGCTACTAAAACAACGAATTCGGCAGTGTGACAATTTGGAGTTTGAGCGGGAAAAAGGAAGGGGGAGTTATGGCAAGTTGCCAGCTGTGGGATTCGACTCGAGGAGAGTATCGTTATTTGCAGCGAAGTTGTCATCAACAGAGAGTCTGTAACGTAACCCCTGCCTGCACCTTGGTTCGTGTAATTCCACAGCATGCAGAGAGGGCTCGTGTCACCTGCAGCATCGTATCGATACACGCAGATCCTCGAAACCCTGCCCTGCCCTCACCCTCACCCTCACCCTCATCAGCCACGCCAGTTCATCGACCACGCCCCGTGTGCCGCCATTGCTGGACGGAGGAGACATGACTGGTGCGGGAACCCTACCCTACCTGGCCTCGATTAGCGCTCGTAACGGCGGCCGGGAGCGGGCTAGCCTCGATACGTGCAAGCTTGCAGGGCTTCCTGTGTTTTTTTTTAATACCCTCACCCTGTTCCCACCACACTGGACTGCTTGCCGCATTGCACTGAGCGGCCGGCCTCTCTCTCTCTGTACCTGGCTGTCACTGCTGGGCCGGCAGGCACCTTTTGGCCCAAGGTTCCCACCCCGGAGAGAACGTTTCAATTGCCCGCATCCACTCACTCTACTCAAGCACGCGCGCGCGCAGCCATCATCATCATCGTCCAGTTGTTGGACACGCCAACGTCCCAGGAGCGAGCCGCGGGTCTGGCCCACAGGATATTTTGTTAGCGTTGGCTCCCCCGAAGGGGCTGGCGCACGGGCACGGTCCTGCCTGCGACGTTCATTGATTGTTCTTTAGCTGCCGCACCAGCGCACGAAGACGTACCGAGCCTGTCCATCCAAAAATCCGTAGCTGGAGGTATTGGCTAGTTGGTACTTTGTACACCAACACGGATTACAGTGGCTGTCTGCTAGTACTACTCAGCGTCACGCTGCGGAAGCGTGATTGAGGGATGATGCCAATTAATAAATGGTGTACGAAGTAAAAATGTACCTCACTCGGTAGCGTGCTCAAAGCTGTCAAGAGACGGGCTCGGCCGAGATGGCGCCGGAGTCTAATCAGCGCGGGGTGGAACACACGTTCACACTGACAGGGCACCCGTTCGCCGCACCTGAGAAGTCTGGCATTAAGCGCCGCGGTCATCATCACGCCAGTTGGGGATCAGCATAGCCGCTGGTGAATCGTGCGTGCTCGTTCTAGAGGACATCAGTCTGCTTGTAGGTTGCGGTCAAGTTCGCGTGAGCGCGTGTATGTCGGGGGCGGGCACTCCGGCAAACCACCCCGGCTTTCTATTGCATCTATATGTGAAAACGAGCCAAATATGAAAATACTCGGGAACCCGGATATAGATCATGACCGTCAAGGCATCACACGACAGAGGAAAAAGAAAGGAAATCGTCGCCCTCTAGATCCTGTACATCCACGTGTATCGTTGCGCATGCATGGCCCGGACTCCATAAAACACTTGAACCCAAAATAAAAAGAAAGGTCCCTCCGTTAAGACCTGCAAAAAGCCGCCGGCGTGAACGACATCGACGGCGTCAAAGGATGTGAACCCGAAACGAAATGTCAAAGCCAGAGAAGCAGAAAACTCCGGTGTAGCCGGTCCCCGTCTCGAAGTATTTTCAAAACCTGAACACCAAAATCACTCCATACTCGCCCCTTCCGACAGCAAAACGACAAATGCGACCGCCCTCCAGTAACCCCTAGTCTATCTTCATTCATTGTGAACGTGCTCGTTGCTGAAAGCAACCGGACAGGATGGCACACCCAGCCAAGCAACGCGGATGCCAGAGCACCTCCTGGTCTTGGCTGCACGGACAGAGTTTCTGCGGTGCGCTGGTCCGGATTCGCAGAAGAAGTAATGCGCGACTTCAAAGGTGGAAGTGCTGCAGAAAACCTTGCGCCAGACATGGAGATCCAACTCCTTTTATATGTTCTGCGTAATCGCTGGGTATTGTGTGCGGCCGAAGGAAAGGAATAAAACGAATTCACAATTCCCAAAAGGTGCCCATTGACGAAGCGGTGAGGGCATCTGGGCTTTCATCCATGGCCGTGATGCTGTCGTTGTAGTTAGGCACCCAGAAGGCGGCATCCTCTTCGACCATGGAAATAGGACCGACGCCCATGTTGGTGCTTTCCGAATTCTTGTTGTAGAAGCTGTCGTAATCGATGCTGCTCAAGTCCGTCGAGGTTCCGACGACGTTGCCTTGTCGGAGAAAGCTGTTGCCGCCAGCCGCAAAGCCATCCAAGTCACCGTCGCCATTGCCCATGAAATCTTCCACCTCTGACACCTCACCCGATGTTGAAGTGGTATTGGCGAGGCGCGGGAGCTGCTCCGAGCCGCTGCCAAAGTCGAAAAGTCCGTTGAAACTTTGCGCGCCAGCCTGGCTATAGCTAGACGGCGCGAAGTCGCCCTTGGCCTCCCCAAGATCGTAGTGGCTCCAGTCCACAGAGGCGGCGCTAAGACCGGCGCTGTACATGGGCCCTTCCTGCTCAGACGGGAGACCCGAGCTGAACATCTCGAAACTGTTGCTGCCGACGTAGGATGGGTAGTCGATGCGCGAAAGGTCGAGTGGCGGGAGCGCGTTGAGCTGAGGGAAGCTGGACCCGCTCATGAGGGGTGACGCAGTCTCAGACTTGACTCGTCGCTGTTCGCGGGACGCAACGGCCGCCCTGGAGCGCCCGCCAAGCGGTTGCCCCTCACCAGGCTGATAGAGCATATTCTCTGCGCTTGCGCCGAGGCTGCTTGCACTGGTGGCAGAGTTCACACGGTTCAACTGGTACGGACCGCACTTCTGAGCAGCTCGGTTGTGCTTGGCCGCCGGCTTGTGGTGACCATGTTGATCGAAGGCGAGTCCGGCGTCGGAGTGGACCGTGTTCGCTCGACGTCGCCTCGCCGCGACCTTCGGCTTCGGGACGCCGGGGATGCTCTGGGCGTCGTGATCGGAATCGGACTCGGGGACGGTGTCCAAACCAGGCTCCTTCTTAAGGGAGCAGGTGCAGCGACCACCGTGGTTGCAGCAACAGGTCTCTGCAACAGTGACGGCCTGGTCAGACAGAGTTCACGTCCACAGAGAACAGAGACAAGTCAGCGGCTCGTGCTCACCCTTGTGTCCCTCAAGAGGTTGCTGCAAGTGCGCGCACTTGGTCGTCTTCTCGCCACAGTCACACTTGACATGGGCAGACCGCGACTTGCGCATCGTGCGGCAATGCTGGCATTGTGATACAGGGCGTCCCTTCTTGTTGATGTGCTGAAGCGGCCGGTCTGTGGGCGTGGAAGAGCAGATGGTTAGCGACTGTCGGGCTTGCGGTCGAGAGCACAGGCGCGGGAGACGAGAGGTGGGCGGCCGCAGCATGCGCCGCCGGACGCGGCCAGCCGCCGCAGAGGGGCGAGGGGCAAGTCGGCAGTTGTGTGGGCGGACGAGCGAGACTTACCAGAGTGCTGGCAATTGCTCACCCGGTGGCCGCGCACGCAGGCCTCGCAGGCGTACTTCTCGCCGTCTATCAACATGATGTCTGCGTGTGTGGCCACAGAGAGGGTTCGAGAGCTGGTGTGTTTGCGAGGTTGAAGTCCAAAGTCGGAGCGGCGACGATGTCTTGGTGGTGGCAGTCCGCCGAGTCAGTAGCGCGGGCAAGGCTGGGGCCGGCGTTGGCCTGCAGTGTCTCAGAAGTCGGGGCGGGTCGAAAGCACAGAGACGGGGAGGGCCAGCACAGGTGCGAGGGCCAGGGTCCCGATTCCTTGTCTCCCGGTTGGGGCGGGCTTGGGGGGGCGGCAGCGGCAGGTACGTAGGTACTTGCGCTGTGAAAGTGGAATCCGTGGGACAGGGACGAGGGCGGCGATGGATCCGTCAGAGTTGCTAGCACAGGAGGCACATTGCTGTCGGTCTCTTGTAGGTACAGGTACTCGGGCTTGTCAGCGGGCTCTGATGGGGGGCGCGACACCGGCAGGCCAGGCAGGCAGGTAACAATAAAAAAAGTTTTCGGGGGAGCAGGTCGCCTGTGTGCGTGAGCGGCGGCGGGTGCCAGCAATTGAATGCTCTGACGGTGTGTGGGAGGCGTCCTCGCCGGTGGAGACGGGACGTGAGTCGGTGCGGGTGGAGCTGACCTGGCGTTTCGTTCAGGTACTTGGGGCTCCTCTTCGTCCGGGACTGGAGATGAAAGAACGGGTCAGCGTCGTCGGGGCCGCGGGAGTGTTCGTTCGTCGCACTTGACTTTGTGGATCGATCTGGTCGCCTGGCCAAGGTCCAAGGCTCGCGATGTTAGGGTGGATAGGCCGTGGAGAGGCCTCGGGGATGGGTGGGTGAGGGTGCGGGTATTTAGATGAGACTTTGGCTGAACGGAAATGCCGCCAGCAGAGCAGAGGACGACGAGGACTCAAGCAGAGCTCCCCGGGGGGCAGGAGGTGTAAGAGGAGGCGGGCGGGAGTCGGCGGCAGAAGCGGCGGGACGGGCAGGCTTTCTATCCCTCCTGCTCACGCCGACGAGACCGCACGCGGGTTTGGCGCGCTCAGCTTTGGGCCACTAGAAATCGACAAGCCAAGCCCAGGTGCAGGCGCATGTACTCATGGCCCGGAGTTGCGCCAGCATGTACACGCGCTTCCGAGCGCCCAGGTCGGATGGTCGGGAAGAGACGTGTGGACAGGGCTGCCCTGGTGTCGTCAACCCGCAGGACCGACTTGCTCCAGACAGTCGTAGCTGGGGGAGGGACGGGTTCAGGTGGCAGAAGAACCCTGCGTGCGAGGGCCGGATCCTGCAGATGGTGCCGACCAAGGAGCTCACCAGGTTGGCCTTGGGTTGTGAGGGGACGCAACCTGGAAGGGTCCTGTGGCTCGCCGTCGTCGTCCAAGGAAGCCCGCGAAGAAGAGTTTCGCAAACCGCATGGGCCGAC